TATTATGGTACCATAATATGGCACAATTGTTATGCTTGTTTGTCTTTGTGTCTATGGTGTATAATGATGTGATTGTGATGCTGTATTTCTGAGTGTTTTATGTGCTGCAGAACAGGAACCTGCTGTAAAACAGCAATTATGCTGAGTCAGGCTTGATTTTTAGTAATCTTTTCCTGTTAAATCAATAAATCAAATCAATCAATTTTTGATTAAAGCAAAGAAAAAATAAAGACTTTTTTCTGTTTCAGCGAGCAAACTAGCATTAAAAAGCAAATTGCACACAGCCTCAGGTTTATAAGGCAGCAAACACCATCTAGACACAACAGCCCATAAATGCATTTTTTTGAACATAAATGATAAAACTGTGGTTTTAGAAAGCTTGATTTGAATGTTCTGATCTAATAAAAAGCTTCCAAACATTCAGAAGTTTGAAGCTGGGAAGTGAAGCGGTGAGGATGTTCGAGCTCATTGGTGACGTGACAGTGATAGCTCTGACACRGTGTTATGAATCACTCTGCTTCAGGAAGTATAACACAGGCTCTGAAGCTTCAGCATCATTTGACCATCACCAGTTTAAAGTCAACTCACATCTCATTGTTAGACATAGATTTTAAAACAAAACCAGAWCCATTAAAAAGAAATGAAAACGGTAATAACCAAATTTGCTCACACTCCAACATCAGGCCAATTTAGACTCACCAATTAATTTAATACACAATTTTTTTAGATAAACATGGAGAAAAACAAATGTCATGATTTGAACCTGGAGCCTATTTGTGAGCGACGCATACATGCATACTGCACTCAGGCTCAATGACTACATTTACAGCCATGACCACTAAAGGTTTGCATCTTTCCACTGACATCCACGCAGCTCTGCAGCCCACCATCATCAGGAAAATTAATTGTTTTTAAACCAATTTTCCTGCAAGTTCCAACTTTTATAAAGATGATGTGTCATGACAATAGGGACATCCTGTTGGAAACACAACAAACTGTATCAGCTTAGCTTAATAGGAAAATTGTTTATAAATTGTATCAAATTAATATCAGCTCAGATCTGGCACATTGAACTGCCAACAAAATAAGAAAAACATAGAATAGAGGTTAAGACTGAAGCTGCAAAAATGTATAAAATAAGTAAACTAAACTGAGAATTGGACAACTAAAGGAGCATCTGTGTGTAAGCAGTTTTATTTTCTATTGCTAGGCTGACCTGGCCAGCTGCAGGATGTCCAGCAGCATCTCTTTGTTCCTCTGGTCGTCCTCTGCTCGGCCGGTGAACAGCTGGAAGGACCTCTGCTGGAAGAAGGGCAGAGACTTGGCCAGCGCTCGCAGCTCGATCAGGTACAGGAAGTAGAGGTTGCGGAGCCTCTTGGGCCCCTCGCCGGCCGTCAGCTCCGAGTCAAAACGTTGCCTGAACTCTGACACGTTGTGACCCCACTTCTTCTGAAACCAACTATCTGAAGCAGAGGAACGGTCAACATGAAGAAAGGATGTACCCCAATCCCAGGAGGAGTGGTACAGCAGTGTGAGAACCTCACCATCCAGGAGGTACCTGGCACTCAGGTGAACGTTGATGCTGGCGTGGAGGCCAGAAATGAGGCGGTAGAACGCTCTCTTTTCCACACACTGACCTGAGAGAGAAACAAATCAACTTTGAATCTGAGCAAAACTCCACAACGTCTGCAGGGGGAGAGCAGCCTACCTTCCAGCCAGCTGTAGAAGGTCCTCGCTGAGAAAACAAAAGGAATCAATCAGACCCATCAGTGCGATATCAGTTACGTCTTTATAGGACAGAAGGCAACATTAAAGATGGCTGACCTTCACTTCCTGAACTGCTCTGATAGGAGTTGGGAACAAGTGGTCGCTTGACGGTGAACGGTCTGTGTGTGGAACATGAGGGGGAAAAGTTCTGTTATAGTCAGTTTTATYATCTTTTCCTCATCATCACATTAGAAAATATTAATAAGTAAACTTCACATCTTAAAATGTCATAACAACAACAGTTTCCAGTACAATATTTGAGTCTCACCAGGACAACTTGCCAGGTACCGATACTCACACTACACCCATCCAAAATGGCAGGACCGGTCACTGTTTTGGCATTTTTACTGCTAAAAATGATAGTCCAACTACAAGTAATGGTTTTTAGAGAGAAGAAAGCACATGAACCAGGGGAGACTTATACACCAGCGTATGAGCCTTCTTCTAAAAGTTCAGGTTGTCAGACTAATTTAAATGCATTACCACCACCATTAGACTGGAAGGTGCTCAGTGGACATTGCTATATTTCTGCCTTTTAATTCAAAACATCACATACAGCGATGGATTGTGAGTAATACAATAGCGTACTGAAGTCTGCTTGGATGCAGGTTTAGCCAAAGGGTGGATCAAGGGTGCAAAGGGGACAGGGTGAAAGACCACTTAAGACAATTGGGACACACTACAAACTCAAACCCTTCAGCGGGAACACATATTTGATGTACATAGGGGTGGAGGTGTCAGTATTAGAACCAGGCCTTTGTCAGCTATAAAACTGACTATTGCTATTGTTTGTTTATCTTGAATTTCACTATTATCATTGCCACACAAATGCATAACCTGAGACAGACAAACTCAAGTTTTAAGTTAATTTGTAAGCAACTGGAAAAACTTTAAAACTATATTCTGAATTGTGTGACATGTAAATAACAACAACAACAACAGCGCAAGAGTCTTTTCAACATTGCTCAAAACTAATCATCGCCTTTAGGTGCAGCCTTTGCCACCATCACACCCTGYCACCATTGAGTCTTTCACAAATAAGTATTTCAGACACAACCCTTTAATTATTTCTCATCTCTCTGACTGCAGTTTGTTTGTTTTGATCTCTTAAGCCCCAAGGGGGTTTTCTTGAAGTTTTTTCTCAAAATACCATGCTGAAATGAGAGTATCTCCGCATTTTTAAAGTCTACTTAAATAATCTTGGTATGAAAATAAAGCTAAATATTGGGAGCTTTTATTAAAAGTGTAAGTATTAAAACAGCTGCTGTGGTTTTAGAGATATTGGGGATGGAACATAATTTATTTAGTTTTTTCCCCCTCCCGTCAGAATAATTTTTGCATTAGACAGTATATAACCTATTTAAAACCATAATGAATCAGGCTAAAAACTCTTGAAAACCATAAATCCACTTGTGGACATTACCTGTGCAAAGATTCATGCWGCTAAAATTAACTGGAGCAAAGTTACAGAGGTTTTAGTAAAGAAATAATTTTGTATTTTGTCATTCTGCACAGGACAGATCATGTAGGTACCATTAATAAATATTAGTAAATTATGTTTTAATTGCAAAAGTGATTTATTTTTTCTTACCTGCCTGAAAAGACTTGTTATTGAATGTTTGCTCTTTTGAAACATTATCCAAACATTTATTTGTCACCATATATATTATATAAAAATAATGAGAAATTATATTTGACTTGGATCATATTCACTCAAAATCAAGTGAAAAAAAAACTTTCAACACACTTTACAACATATTTAGGTATCTACTTTGACTTGCTTTAAAAAAATAACATAGATTTGCTTGAATATATTTACACATTTGCAATTACGCCATTTTGTACAGTTTGTTTACTTTCTGATTCAACTGCTTGACGTTCGAACTGTTTGGTGAAACTTTTAACCAAGATTCTTAGGTTTCTTTTGATACCAAACATGTCCAGGTTCAACTGACAGATCTTAAGTTAAAAGAATTTAAAGGAAATAGAAAACAGAAAAACTGTTTTGCATGGGGCTCAAGAGGTTAAAGTCATTCACCTCTGATCCATCCCCTCTCTGTTCTGGTGTTCCACACGGCTCCGTCCTCAGCCCCCTCTTTTTATCATCTAACTCTTTCCTATTAGTAACATCTTAAAAAATATCCAAATCCACTGTTCCATGGACCGCTGCATTCCGGTTCACTCTTTAACCTAGATTACTGTAACTCCCTTCCACAAATGTCTGACTGCAAATCTGTCCTGTTTTTGTACTCAGCTCAGGATTATTAAACTCATCTTAAGACCAGATGACTTCAACGTTCTAAAACATAAAACTGCATCTTCTCCTCACTATGRCTGCTCCTCACTTTACATGTACAATATAAAGATATGAAGGTGTGTCATCTGTGTTCAGAGTTACTTGAAGCAGTTYTCCTCGTAGATGCTGTTCCAGATCTGCCAGGCCTCTGGTCCTTTGTAGCCCGTGTAGCGCTCAGGGTTCAGCAGCAGGTCGACATACTGGGAGTCAGGTGACTGCTCATCTGGAAAACAGCAACACTTTAAGCCACGATGATGTCACCCATTTGTAAAAGCCCTGTCACGTGATAACATTTTAGATAACTTATTCTAACTTATGAATTGTTTTAATGTCTAAATTACTAATAATAGTGAGATATTTGATCAGTTTGTTAGTATGTCCACACCTAAAAAGGATTTCCAGTTGATTTTTTGATTCCATCTTCAATGTAGATGTCTTTAAAACTTTTACAAGTAGGCATAAGTTGTCTAAAAACAACGATGACAGTGAAATTTGTAGAAGAGCAGAAAGACCTGAAAGCTTAAATAATTAGAAAATAAAAGTTTGAATAAATTGTACTCTCTTATCCATATTTACATATTTTTGAAAAAATAAAATTACTTTTACTCTGCGAAAGCAGATCTATTGTGGAAAAACCGATGCATTTTATTATTATTTACTCATTTCCACTTCTCTTTCCAAAAAACATTTAATTTATAATAATTTCCCCCCAACATTTCAATAAATGCATAAAAATTTAATCTGACTATATGGCCTCTTTTTAAAATCATTTCAAATATGTTGCTAAAATAAAAACTCCTGAGCTATTTTTCAATAACCTCTTAGGATTGTGCAAAGAAAAGACTTTTCTCTAATCTCAACTTTGTACACATTTTGTAATTAAAGAGGTAATCTTTTTATTTGCTGTAATTGATGAATTGAACGGTACCGTCAACGACACAGAACCTCTCGGCTTCATCGTCATGTTTGCTCCAGTTCAGCAAAGCCTTTCGAGTCTCGTCACTGAAAAACAAAGAAAAAGATTCAGTTTGACTCAGTGGAGTCAGTGTCACTGAACATGTCAGAGAAACACAACAATCYGTTTATGATGTAGGTTTTTTTTATTTGATTTATGATTTATTCCAGACATGTCAAATTCATTACATAAAGCATAGTCTGAATCTATATGTCTCAATACCCTTTCACATATCTACACGTGTTTAGAYAACCAAAACCTCTTGTAGCCTCTTGTAAAATAAATAAAATATGAAACCACTTAGACTAATTATACACAAATAAACCCATAAAATAAATATACACCCGATGTGCACACACTTATCTGTGTACACCGACCCAAATACATACACTCACATGAAGCACATAAATCCCATGTCTGAAAAGGAGTAGGAAGAAGTAAAACTTATTTAGTCCTACCCCTATTCACCACTTCATCTGGTTTTCAGTCTTATCAGTTTGTGATGAAAAACAAAACAAACAAAAAATATACACGTATAAAATAATACATAAGGTAATCCAATATTATTCTAATACTAAATTTTAAATTATAAATTCACATCCAGCTACACACTAATACTTATACACACATTTACATGCAGATACACAGCAGGTTTAAAAAGAGTAATCTACAATCTCTAGATTATAACAATCTGTACCTATAATTATTTACCCAACACCACTCCAACTATTCTTCACAACCATAAAAACACACAGTGGTTACATTCTTACATAGACTCTTATAAAAGTGAACGTTTGCAACTAGAAATGTTTTTAAATCAATTAAGACTCACCTCAAAGAGACGTCTACGGCTCCGAGATGTTTCGCCTGTTCGCATTCTTTCGACTGCTCATTGGCCTCAGCTGAGTACTGAAGGTTGAAACAAATAGAAGAACAGAAACAGCCTTTATTGTCCCGCAGCAGCAGATACACACATCAATCCACAGAAACAGATCCAAAATAAAAATAAGAATAAGAATTACTGTACTGGACTATCAAGATGAAATTAGATAAAAATTAAAATAAAAGCAAGATACCGTGCAGAAAAACACAAAATTACAGGAAAAAACAGTCATGACAGACTCATAATTCGAGTATACGTATCATAACACGTAAATAATGTTAATGAAAGCAGGTGTAGGTGCATTACTTTACTGTTTTAACGAAAGAGCAAATGTTTAATTGTAATAAAACTATTCCAACCTCCCATGAAGTTTTAATAATCTTACATCTGTTGGTATTTCCACAATAACAAGTCCTTTCTAAAGCTGGGCTCAGCACTAAAAAAAAAAAAAAAMAAAACGTTGGACAAACCTCAGGGCTATCAGGATCTGATGTGACTCACCTTGTTGTGGGAGGAGGAGGACCGGAGGCCCTCAGGCACCTCGTTCTGTGAGGAGACAGTTTTAATCAGTTTCATGTGAGTTTTCCTTCAACCTGCACCTGATATAAACTGATGTATCTGAATTACAAGTGAAACAAAAGATTTCTGCTACAGTGACTGAATTCATGATCAAACTGGGACTGAAAATACGTCACAGTGATGTGACGGGACCAAACACATTCACAGGATTCAAACTAGAACGTACTTTAAGGTTTAAATTGGTTAATTTAAAACATATTGTTGAGCTGCAGGTCTCCTTTCAGCACTCATTTCTCTAGATTTAATTTAAAGAAGTGTAATCCTTTAAAGAGATCTTGCTCAGCAGTCCTTTAGGCTTTTTAAAAAATCTTTCAATCTAGAACCGACTCATTTTCACAGAAATGTTTGGTTCTTTAAGCCACATCACTCTGATGTTTGGATCATTTAGGCGTAAAAACATTTGTCGCCTCATTACAGACAACCTTAACAATTTGAATCTGAACTGTTAGCCTCTTTGTCACTAGCAGCCTGTCACAAAAATACAATTTCTTTAGCTGAATTATAAGTGTAAATTAGATATATGCTTAGCTTGCAGTTTTTGTACATTTGATTGCATTAAGTTTTTTTGTTTCATTTTTTTCTTTGTTTGTTTTATGAACTAATATTTGTATAATGATTGTATTACCAAGTTTATTGTCATGTCATTGTGATGCTATTGTTAACATGATGTTTTTATGAGGACCCCAGGAAGAATGGTTATTGCTGAGGTAATAACTAATGGGCGTCATTAATAAACTAAACTAAACTACTAACACGGTGAAAGTCTGGTGTCACTTGCTTCAGGGCTGGTCTTGTGGGAACTATCTGTTGCTCTTTAGGACTCACCCTGTTGGTGCAAACATTTTATTTTTTATCCATTAATCCATTAAAATTAGTTATTTTTGGTATTCTTTAATACAGTGGTCCCCTAGCTTTTCAGCTTTTGACCCACAAAATAAAAGCAGCAGAGACCTGTGCCCTCAGCTGTTGTCAGTTCATAAACATTGTTTTCACGGCAAATAAATAGCTTATTACATTATTTTTGTCCATTTTAAGTACACTGTTATAATTTTGTAACAGCAAAGGCTAAAAATGTTTGTCATTTTTTTAGTGTAATTAATTCAAAAAATGTTTTAAAGGACCCCACTGTGGGTCCTGACCCCAACTTTTATACAATTAACTTAAAGGGATCCCCGATTTGTTGTAACATTAGACTTTATTTGATAAACATATATTTTAACTGTAAAATAAAGACTGTAAAAATATTGTAGCCTGTTTAGTTTTTATACTTTTTAAACTAAAAGTTTAAAATATATATTACACGGACGGGGCCATTATATTTACACACAAAGCATTCTGGGTAAATGATGACATCAACTAGGTCATCGGTGCGAGGCTGCTAGCGAGCTATATCCACCCTGAAGGTTAATCTTGGACAATATCTGACGATCGGCTCTTTTAAATGAAACCAGAGAGCGTTGACGTGGATGGAACAGAGCTGCTTCATGGAAGAAGAACCACAGTTTAGCCTGTTAGCTTGAGCGTTAGCCCCAACGCTGTTACCTTATATGTATTAACCTGGCACTAGTGCAACAAACAATCTAAATTGAGGTCCTCCATCCATATTTTCAGTTAGGCTGAGTCATTTTTACCTTCTCCTCTCTGTCAGCGCTCTTTGGTTTCATTTAAAAGAGCTGATCGTCAGATATTGTCCAAGATTAACCTTCAGGGTGGATATAGCTCACTAGCAGCCTCCCGCCGATGACCTAGTTGATGTCATCATTTACCC